TTCTGTTGCTAAGCAGATAGTTGAGCTATGCTCCATTTTACGAACTTTCTTGCCACAGTTCTTAAGTGAATCACCGCAGTTGTTAAGATCGTAATACGGTTGTTAAGTGAATCTGGCTTCCCCATTCACTTTGCTTATCAGAAGGTCGCAAAAGGCGACCACATGGCTGGCTGAGGAATTCTGGGAATTGAAGTCCACACATCTTAAAGTTGCCAAGATGGAGAAACCGTGATATAAAGGCCCTGGCATACTGTGACATTGCAAAATTGAAATCTGTTAGGAAGGAAGAGTGAGTTTGTTCGGTGTCTTGACATTTTGCTAGTATTTTTTATTTACTACAGGTGACCATAAGAATGGCTCTGAACCACGTCTGTTCCGGGCCTGTTAGGAACTCAGTACTTGCTGGTCTGCAGAGTTCAAACTATGAACTTTAACCAGAAGACAAGCTTTGAAACCCTGTTAAATGAAATGGGTGGCTACCTCGAATCCCTCTTAACCCAAGTTGGCCGGTGCTTCTCATGAGCCGGCTAAGGGCCGGGGGTCAAAAAGATGGGGAGACCTACGGCTGGGGTTACTTTTTGCCACCGTGACTTCGGTATACACTAACCCCAACATGGCGGTGGGTGCAACCTGCGTTTCTGCTCTGCTGCTCTGCTGACTGTAGTCTTTCTTCTCCTGTCCTGTCCTGTCCAAATGTTCTCTGAGTCCATCCTGCAAGCGCTGGAAACTCATGCCTTTGCTTCTCCTCCAGCAGTTCAGGACCTGCTTCAGAAACTTCTGCTTTGTACCCTAAGTGTCCCTCACTGCAGCCCTGTCCAATATTCTACAGGCAAGCTTTTCAATGTGATATTTGCATTCCGCCTCCTGGGAATGTTCAGGCACTGTCAGCATTTCATGCGCATGGCTCCTTGTCTCTCCTTTCGCAGCGCCCAGTCCTGTCCGACGAATGCCTCTGCCTCGTTTCATTTATTTATGTTTAGCTATTAAATCTGTATGCTCGCCCTCAAGCGACAAGCGTCTTGGCCAAATCAGTCCTCTTTGGCGATGCTCCAGTAGTCTGTCCTGTTTGGGAGCACTCAGAGGGGAAGTCCAAATAAAAGTGCCCCTTGAGTTTCTCTGCCCGACTAAGCAGATTCATCGCTCATGTGCTGCATGCAAAAACATTGGCCCCCCTCTACATGCAAAATTTTGACGGTTGGAATGGGGTAAGTGATGTCCTTAGTGCTGAGTTGTCTATACTAACGAGACCAGAAGAAGAAAAAGTTTCCTCAAGAATTTTTTACGGTTATCAGCAACAGCAGGGACTAGCAGCCGAAGGGTGCTTACTTAGAAGTAAGTCCAGTTGATCTAAAATGGGGCTTCTTTGCTTGTAAGCATGGCTTGGATTGCAGCCTCAGTCTTGTGTCCAAGGCAGAGTTCCTCGTTCTCTGTTTTCTCTTCTGCTCAGATGGGACACCTCCTTTCGTTCCTGGGATTCATCTGTGCCACATCTTGTTTTGAAATACGCTGTGACCGAGATCCTGCCTGAGTCTTCCAGAAAGGTAATTCTGTTTTCCTTAAGTAGCAGAGTAGAATTTGAACAGCCCTGAATGAGTTCACAAATTCCATTAAGCCATAATGTATTGGTGCAATAGCAATGGCACTTAAGACTTATATACCACTTCACAGTGCTTTTACAGCCCTCTCTAAGCGGTTTACAGAGTCAGCATATCTGGGTCCTCATTTTACCGACCTCGGAAGGACGGAAGGCTGAGTCAACCTTGAGCCGGTGAGACTTGAACTGCTGGCAGCTGGCAGTCAGCAGACTAAGCCTGCAGTTCTGCATTCTAACCACTGCGCCACCACACACAGCAATGTGTGAATTCAGTCATTCTGGCTTACCTAACAAATACCTGGTAAAACAAATCGTGGCTTAGGATGGTGTTGAACTTAAAACACTACATTTGAACGTTAAATCAGAGTTCTTTTATGGCAGAAGAGATTGAATGGGTTCCAGCAAGAACAGAACCGAGTTAGTGGACTCTCAAAAACACCAAGACAGTTGTGGTCCACTTCAGCTAACTTATGGGGATTAAACAAAGATACCAAAATTCCCTGACCAGCTCTTCCGCGGAAGGCATCTAAGCCAGAGGTCCCCAACCCCAGTCCGTGGACCAGCACTGGGCCGCGGCATGCCAGAAACCGGGCCGCACAAACAAGCAAAGCCCCATCCATGGGATGCAGACACACACAAAACCACGTCCCCTCTGGTCCACAGAAAAACCTCTCCCTACAGAACCGATCTCTGGTGCCTAAAAGGTTGGGGGCCTCTGATCTAAGCAATTGATTTGAGGAACAAATTTGAATCTGCATATAATATTCTACTCCAGATTAAGCTTGCTTTCCACCAAAAACCAGAGCAGGTTCAGTTAAAAGTTTTGACGTAGGAAATAACATTAATGAGATTTAGTAGCAAGCACCTCCTACAAAGGCGTGCCTTTACTTCCCGTGTAGAGACACGTAAGAAAAGGAGGCAGATTACACGGAATAAGACATTAAAAAGAGCACTGCTGGTTTCTGGACCCTGTGCTGCAATCTTCAGTCCTACATGGAGTTCATAGATAATAGGGTGGGATGGGAAAGTGAACAAGTGGTCCCCAACTTATGACCCATAATGGAGACTGCCATGACGGTTGTAAAACGGGTGAGTCATGTGACAGGCCCAATTTTACCACTTTTTTTGCAGTCGTCGTTAAGCAAATTGGTGGTTTTGCTATGGACTCGCTTTTGCCAAAACCCGGAAATGAGTGCCAATTTTCAGCCAAACCATTGTAAAACGCTGTCATGGGGGACACTGCAAACAGTCGTAAATGCAGCCAAACTTCAGTCATGTGACCACCAGGAGATCCCTGACCACTGAACTGCAAATCTGGGTTGTAAATAGCCCCGTGGTAGATCCTAACCCATAACTTTGATGTCACTAGTGACCAGTTGTATGTTGAGGTCAACCTGTATTCTCTGATATTCAATCCCTTCTACAGAGGTCTTCTCAGACCTGGCATGCCCCACCTGCTCTGGCCAAAAATTGCGAAAAATACATCCTAAGTCAGTGATGGCGAGCCTTTTAGAGACCGAGTGCCTAAAAACTGGCCCTGCCCCGCCCCCGCTCTGCCCCCCATCCCCCGCCCCACAGGACCACTCACTGCCTCCAGGGTCCGCGTCAGATTGCCCAGGAAGCCCAGCAGCGCTATGGCAGCCACACCCTCTGCCCGTGCCCTGCAGCATCAACTGCATGATGGGGCGTGAGGGCAGAGTCTTGTCTACACTGCCTGGCTGCCATGTCCTTGGCTGCGCTGCTCCGTGTGGGCCACGCTCGAGGGCGACTCCTTCAGGGGGGCTGCTGGAGAGGAGAGGGTTGCGGGGGGAGGCGAGGCTGGGGCAACGGCACGTGTGCCCACAGAGAGGGCTCCGAGTGCCGCCTCTGACACCCGTGCCATAGGTTCGCCATCACTGTCCTAAGTAGAAATGGAAGTAAACCCCAAGTTTGGAAGACTTTACGCACAGGAAAGTTTGCCTGTGGACTGATAGGGGTTTACACAATTTACTTTGCGTTACTGTTTTTATTCTGAATATGCCTTTTTTTTTTTTTCTCTCTTGGGCAGGTCTCCTCTCCCAGATGGCACTGTAATTCAGGATTTCTTGGCCTGAAGAAGAGAAATGCTGTTCAGAAGAGCTCTTTCAGTAGGTCTTTTTAAGATGCAAAACATTGCACTCTTTGATTATTATGCAGGATATTTTTATATGTATTTAAAAAAAGAAACTGCAGCTAGAACTGCTCAGTTGGTTTTAAAATTCATCACAATCTGCTCACATGTTGAATTTCATGTGCAGAAAAATTCTCCAAATAAAGGAAGAGCCACAGAAAATGTTTATACACACTGAGCTGTGGATTTTATGCTGATTATTAGAGATTGAAAAGGGATAGGAAGTCTGATATGTTGGTATGTATCAAGCTTTCCAATTAGATCCTGGAAGTTTGGACTACAATGACCATTGTCCCCAGGTTGATAATCCACCTGGCTATAAGGTATGGTAGGAACAGTAGTCCAGCACATTTAGATAGTACAAGATTGCAAATGGTTGGTTTTATACATTAAACTGAACAAGGCTTGAGTTTCAGTGAGGTCCTTATGTGGATTAAAGGGAGGATCCAAATGCTCAAGGATGATAAAAAGATAGCAAATACATTCCTGGCAAGCGAAGCCATTCTTTGTGCATGAACAAAACAAATAAAATTTTAAAATTCTGCCACCAGTGGTTTGACCAGTTATTTTGAATCCTTATCATTTCTCGTGGTAAGCATACATCATGGTGGGGAACCAGGGTGTATTCCAACCTGGCTGGAGAATTCTGGAAGTTGGAAGTCCACATATCTTAAAAGTTGCCAATGTTGGAAAACACTGGCCGAGAATGTCCTAGGCCCGTGGTGGCGTGCCACAGGTGGCACTCAGAGCCCTCTCTATGGGCACGTGCGCCGTCGTCCCAGTCCTAGGCCTTCAGCTGGGTATTATAAAACCTTTTCACTTTAGGCCTGCACCGCCATGTGCAAAAAAAAAAAAAAAAAGGTTCAATCAGTCAATTTCAACCTCGCGGGGGACAAAAAGATCTCGCAAATTTGGAATTGATTGATTGCAGTTACCACTGCAGCTGTGCCCACCTAATTGGCCACGCCCGCCCAATGGGCCACGCCCACCCGGCACCTGACGATACATAAGTGGGTTTTGGGTTGCAGTTTGGGCACTCGGTCTCTCAAAGGTTCGCCATCACTGTCCTAGGGCTTTGCAGATATTCTTCCTCTTCGTTTAGAACAGATGTTGCAGCCTTTAGGATTCTGATCTCCGTCTTCCAAGAGTACATTGAAAACACAGGACATCACAGCAGGTTAAGCAATCAAGGAATATCCACAGATAGATGTCTTAAGAAGTTTTAGGTGATTGATGACTGAAAAGATTGCAATTGTAGCCTCCCACAAAGGCGTGCCTATTATGTTCTGTGAGTGGGCACGTAAGAAATGGAGGCAGACGAACTGGACTGGGGACGTTGCACAAAATAGACAACTTTCTTTGCTATTTGTAGATCTCCAGTCCTACATGTCCCGTAGAGCATGTAAAGATCCCTGTTAGATTAAAATGGATTTAGGTCTGCTTTTTTAATTAAAATGGTCCGATCCCTTTTTGAAGACTTCACAAGCCTTCCACATTGCTTCATGTTGAAAGCAATTAGAAGAATGGCTGGTGTTTTGTTTTTTTTAACCTGCCTCTTTTTTTTTTAAAGGATTGATTGAAAGATAGTTCCACAATAAGTTCTTTCATAAATCAGTTTCATGAAACTATGTGTCTTTTTTCCCCCAGTAGTTTCTGTTTTTCTTGAGGGTGACTGAATTACGCTAAAAGATAAATTATCCTTCAACACTTTCTTGGTAATTGTTTGTAGTTTAAAATTGTTCCCTACTGTCTACTCAGTCAAAGACGTGTAAGGAAAACCAGGAAGAAAGTCAATATTTCAAGCACATACAAATATCCAGAAGGAACATGTTATTTGTTACATAGAACAGAGACCATCCTATGTCCATGCCAGATGAAAGAATTGAGGAACAAAAATCCAGATGTAAGGATGGCCCTTACATTTTCCAAACTATGATTTAGATTAGTCCACAATGGCACAACATTTTAGAAACACTGATTTAGAGACTAAAATAAACCACAAAAGACTCCATACACCTGCCAACCTGCTGTTTGCTCAGATTTTGCCAGATTGTGTAAGTATACCTTACACAATTTGAATATTAAACAGGTATACTTACTTTTTAATTAGAAGGAGCCACTTTCTTTGATACATAATTCTGTGGTTGATTGGCAGATGGAAACCAATTTTGCTGGCCACTTTTAAGTCAGCAGCTCTGATTATTAGATACTACAACTTGGGAGTTTCTAAGCAGTTTTGGGGCATTCAGAGCAGTTCAGATTATCCATTGTCTTGACAGCTAAACAGGAAAATCGCTATGGCATATCTCCACACTTCAGTTTCCTAAGACAGACAAGAGTTATGTCACACAATTCACACAGGGACTGAATTTCAGTTTGACAGGTTCTGCTTGGTTTAGTTTTCATACATTCCAACCCAACGCCATTTTGGAATTACAAAGTATGTGTCAACTCTGCAACGAACCTGAATTGAAGCCATTTGGCTAATGGGAGGGGGAGTGGTGGAATTTTTCTACTAGCCTAAACAATTCTCTGTCCCATGGGAACCAAAGTCATTTCTGTTTGTTAAACTGGGAGGCTGAGCTTTCGAGCCCCCAAACTAATCTTTTGGGAAATGTAGTTGATAGCATAGTAATGGGGTGGGAAGTTTAACTTTGTATACTGTAACTTTTTGGAGGGAGCTTTAGTCTTGGTTTCACTTGTGACAGTGCTGATACTTTGTAGCCAATAAACATGTTCTTAAAGGAAACCTCAAGCCTCAGAGTTCTGTTTTGGTTGGTGTCATCTATTGGAACCATGACAGTATGCCTGCCTGTTTATCTCAGGCTGGCTCCCCCAAAACCACAGAACAAATGGGACCCTATTTGATGTGGAGCAAGAAACCAGATTTAATATGAACCATTTGTAAAAATAATAAAGGCTGATATAAATAAGTTTTTTTAAAAAATGGGCCAGATCCAGCTGAGGCTATAGAGCAAGGGCGGGGAATGATGGCCCCTTTATGAACTTCAGCTCCATGCTGGCTCAGGAATTCTGGGAGTTGAAGTCCACAAGTCATAAAAGGGCCATTGTTCTGCTATACAGAGAAAAATCCAGGGGTTTTCCTGAATGTATCTTGATGGGAGAAGTAAGAATTAGCTTTGCATGTTGTTGAGTACTCCATCCTTAAGACACCCCCCCACACACACACACACACACCTCCCAATCACATAACCTTGAGTGAAGCATCTACAGTATTAAGGGCTTGGAAAGGCAGAAAATGAAATTCACTCAACTGAAGCCTGAGGTAAGAAGTCAAAATGGTAGATTTAAAGAATTTTGAGTGCAAGCGTTTTGTTCTACACCAAACAGCCAATGCTGTAGGTCAAAAATGCACGCACACACACACACACCTCCAGATGGTATAGAATACTTCAGCTTCAGAAATAAAATTTGGGGTGAGGAAAGTTCATGTCCTTGCTGCAATTTAACGGTGTCAGAAATTCTTGCCGATCCGCTAGAGCAGTGGTTCTCAACCTTTTTAGTAAGTCGAGGACTACCCAACCGGTCGTAAGTCGAGGACTTTCCCTGCCCGGGAGTGCCGCGAATGCATGGTTCCACCCCCTGCGCCGGCCAAGGCGTAGCTGGCAAGCGGCAGAGACAGAGCAGGCCGACCACCAGCTGGCCCAGCCCAAGGGAGGTAAGGCACCCGCCGGAAAAGGGAAAAAAAATGGACAAAAAAAATGGCGGACAGCCTTGCTTGGCGACCCCCGTGAAATGGTCGATCGACCCCAAATGGGGTCCCGACCCACAGGTTGAGAACCACTGCGCTAGAGATCAATAAAAAAGGCTCAGCCCTGAACAAAGCAAGATCATGTTAGAAGCTGAGGTTTAATCTAGTGATTATCTCAGTTAGATCCAAAGGAATAAGTGATTCGGTCCATGGTGTGTGGGTTTTTTTAAGAGTACAGTTAGTCTTCAACTTACGACCACAATGGAGCCCAAAATTTCTGTTAAGATAGTTAAGTGAGTTTGCACCAGTTTACGAACTTTCTTGCCACAATTGTTAAATGAATTGGTGCAGTTGTTAAGTTAGTAACATGGTTAAGTGAATCTGGCTTTCCCATTGACTTTACTGGTCAGAAGGTCACAAAAAGTGAGGATGCTCCCCTCATAAATATGAGCCAGCTGCTAACCATCTGAATTTTGATCACATGACCATGGGGATGCTGTAATTGTCGTAGGTGAAAAACGGTCATAAGTAACTTTTTTCAGTGCTGTTCGAACAGTCACTAAACAAATGGTTGTAAGTCAAGGACTGCCTGTGTGCACTGAGGCTGATAAAATTGCGGAGCTTGTTACAAGTCAGCGGGCTTTGTTTTTTGTTACCTTCCTGATCCACATCTGCTCCCTATTCACCACCAAAGGCTTTTTGTACTGAAAGTTTTCTCTCCACGAAACAGTGTTTTCTGACTCCCTCAGGCATACAAGCACATAAATGAAGGGGAAACCCCAACTCTTTGTTTTCTGTGAAATTTTACACAATTCACTAATCCAGTGGTTCTCAACCTTTTCAATGCCGCGACCCCCCAACCGGTCGTAAGTCGAGGACTAAACCGGTCGTAAGTCGAGGACTACCCAACCGGTCATAAGTCGAGGACTTTCCCTGCCCGGGAGTGCCGCACATGCGTGGTTCCGCCCCCTGCGCCGGCCGAGGCGTAGCTAGCAAGCGGCAGAGACGGAGCAGGCCGACCACCAGCTGGCGCAGCTCAAGGGAGGTAAGGCACCCGCTGGAAAAGGGGGAAAAATGGCGGACAGCCTTGCTTGGCGACCCCCGTGAAATGGTCGATTGACCCCAAATGGGGTCGCGACCCATAGGTTGAGAACTGCTGACTAATCAGGTAAACACCATTTTCTCTTAATTTGGCCCCAAAATCGGGGGGGGGGGCAAATGCAAAAACCACAGCAGGCAGGCTGAATGCGGCCTAGCAGAATTTTGAGGATGCCTCCTCAATCCCTAAAAAGGGCCTGATGGCTTAGCAGTTAAAGACCCTGAGCTTGTCAGCTGAAGAGCTGACAGCCCGGGTCCGCGCAATGAGGTGAATTCCCATTGCCCACCTCACAGTTTGAAAGCATGCAAATGTGAGTTGATTAATAGGTACCACTTTGGTGGGAAGGTAACAGCGTTCTGTGTGCCTTTGGTGTATAGCCATGCTGGCCACATCACCACAGAAATTGTCTTCAGAAAACTCCGGCTCTCTCGGCCAAGAAACAGATGAGTACCATGGCCTAGAATTGGATATAACTGACAGGGAAATCTTTACCTTTTACCTCAATTCCTATTTTATTTTTGTGTATTTATTTTTTTTTAAAAATACAAAATGCTTTTTTAAATTTTTTTTTAACTTCTGTGCTTTTTTTCAAGCATTGCTCCCCAATTCTGCCCATTTTTTGGGAATTCAGTCTTTGACAGGCTGTTTCAAAGCTGGAGCAGCTTTCAAACTGACTGTAAACTGTCCATTTTAAGGGTGCATTTATTTTGGCATCACTGCGATTCCAGCGAGTCACCCTAATAGTAAAATGACACAGACATCCCTGCCATGAGGACTACCTTTTGGTTGCTATATCAAAAGGCGCTGGTGCCTAAATTCTTCATAAGCCCACTAAATGCAAATTTCTAAAACTAATTAAACCATTTAAATCAGGGATGTCCAACCTTGGTCATTTTAAGACCTGTGGACTTCAACTCCCAGAATTCCCCAGCCAACATGGCTGGCTTGAGAATCCTGGGAGTTCACGGATCTTAAAGCTACCAGGGTTGAATGCCTCTGGTTTAAATCTAAATTTCTAAAAATATTAAACCAGGGGTCCCCCGGTCCGTGGACCGGTACGGGGCCGTAGCATGCCAGCAACAGGTCCGCACAAACAAGCAAAGCCCCATCCACAGGATGCAGGCAGCACACAAAGCCACGCACCCTCCAGTTCGTAGAAAAACCTCTCCACGTAACCTGTCCCTGGTGCCCAAAAGATTGGGGACCTCTGTATTAAACCACTCCTGATTTAGACAAGGGTTTTTCTCCCCCATTCATCGCCAAGTCCAAGTGCGAAGACCCCATTCCAAAACCATCAGTCTTTTCACACCCCGTTTATTGGCAGCAGTATATAAAAAACAAAATCCCGTATGTACAATTTTAAGGCAGTGCTGCCCTTGGGGGGGATCAGCGTCGTCTCTTGGCTGTGCTGGGAGGAGCTGGGGCCGTCCGTGTGGCTGCCCGCCTCTTGCCGGTCCTGGTAGAGGGAACAAGGGGGCTGGAAGCTGGAGACAGACCCACACAGACATCCAGGCTGTGAGCCTGCAAGTCCACCGTCTGCTGCAGAATACCCGTCAGGATGAATTCCGCGTTGGTGATGGGCACTCCTGCATCCTGAGCTGGTTTGCAGCGCAACAAGTCGTCAAGGCAGGACACCACGATACGTTTCTCCTAAAACAGGGTACAAAAAGGTCAGATCGTCCTCTTTCCTGGTCAAAGAGTTGAGTCACATTTCTTGCATGGCCCCAATACACTTCAATTTGTCTGCCTGTTGGAAAACCAGTTTGTAGCTAGTCCTCGACTTACAACAGTTCATTTACTGACTGTTCAAAATCACCACGACGTAAAAAAGATGTTGAGACTCTAGAAAGAGTACAGGGAAGAGCAACAAAGATGATCAGGGGACTGGAGGCTAAAACATATAAGGAACGGTTGCAGGAATTGGGTATGTCTAGTTTAATGAAGAGAAGGACGAGGGGGGACATGATAGCAGTGTTCCAGTATCTCAGGGGCTGCCACAAAGAAGAGGGAGTCAAGCTATTTTCCAAAGTGCCGGAAGGCAGGGCAAGAAGCAAGGGATGGAAACTAATCAAGGAGAGAAGCAACCTAGAACTAAGGAGAAACTTCCTGACAGTTAGAACAATTAACCAGTGGAACAACCTGCCTCCAGAAGCGGTGAATGCTCCAACACTGGAAGATTTTAAAAAGATACTGGACAGCCATTTGTCCGAAATGGTATAGGGTTTCCTGCCTGAGCAGGGGGTTGGACTAGATGACCTCAAGGTCCCTTCCAACTTTATTATTGTATTGTACCGTGGCACTGAAAAAAGTGATCTATGACCTTTTCCCACACAAGACTGTTGCAGCATCTCCGTGGTCATGGGATCAAAATTAAAACAATTGGCAACTGCCTCATATTTATAACAGCTGCCGTCTCCTGGGGTCACGCGGTTCCTTTTGCCGCCACCTAATAAGCAAAGTCAGTTGGGGAAGCCAGATTCACTAAACAACCGTGTTACTGACTGAACAACTGCAACGATTCTCAGCCCAACTTATAACTCGGTGTAGTAATAATAATAAAAAAAAACCCAACAAAATAATGCCTCCCACTCACCTTAAAGGCCCGAGGCATTCTTGGTAATAAAGTCCCACCACTGCATTTAACGATGTCCTTCATGTACTCTGGTTCTGGCTTCACGTTAGGAGTGACGTGGATTTCGTAGCCCTGGAAAGAAAGAAACTCTGGGGTACTACGACTACTACAAGTAGTCCTCACTTAACGACCAGTTACATAGCCACCATTTGAAGTTATGACAGACCCATCTCCCCAAAGGTACTTATGACCCAATTTTGGAAGTTCTGATGGTCGCCCCCCTCGCTGGTGATCATGCGATCACATTTTGGGTGTCAATGGGCAACCAGTTCACATAGCCATTTTCAGCGACTTACATATGACCACAATTTTTGCCTTTTTTTTTTTTTTTTTTTGCTGGTTTCCAGCCAAAAACACACGGTGTATAAATTGGATTTGCTTAATGATCACTGCCTTGGCTCAACAACCACGTTTGCTCAATGGCACTGGCATTTGTTTAACAACTGCCACAATATACAATAAGGCAGGGCTTTTCAACCTTTTCACCCATTGCACCACTTTTAGGATATGGCAACATCCGAGTACCACCAGTCGCCTAGCAAGGTATCAAAAACTTGATGACCAAAAAGGAAAAAAGTGATAACGTATAGGTAGTCCTCAACTTACAACAGTCCGCTTAGTGACTGTTCGAAGTTACAATTGGCACTGAAAAAAGTGCCCCCCAAGCTACAGCCGAGCAAGACACTAGCTTGCCCACCCGGTGGCGCTCTTCCTCCTGTCCGAGGTTTTCATTGTGAGCATTTCTGTTGAGGATTGGCAGCGGGGGTGGGGTGGGGGGTGTTTGGTTTTTATTCCCCCCCCCCCGTCTGCTGGGTGGTTGCAGCAGGTTTTGGTCACTTCACATGACCCTGGGACACTGTGACTGTCATAAATATGTATCAGTTGCCAAGCATCTGAATGTAAATCACAAGACCCCGGAGAGGCTGCAACATTCCAGCTGATCGGCACTTCTTCTGGGCTCAGCAGAAGCGCCAGGATCAGTGCTGCTTTCCAGCTGGAGCCTGGCGCTGATCCTGGCGCTCCCTCTGAGCCCTGACAGCCCTGCAGCTCCAGCGGTCTCTCGCTCAGGCTTGTGCGGTGCTGCCACCGGTTCAGCTCATTCCCCTCTCCCGCTACCACTTTTCTAGGATGGTCGCATATCACCTGCCAGGTGCCAATGTACCACAGGTGGTCCCCCTACCACTGGTTGAAAAGCCATGCAATAAGGGACAGTCATGTATGAGCCACTTAACGACCACAATGACTTACAACTGTAATTCCAGTCTCAAATCATGGACTACCTATGTTTGCCAGGAATGTGGGCAAAAAAAGGAAAGGAACATCATACCACAGCAGGTTGGCTGCTGGTGGACCTAAAGCCAAATTTGCAGCTTTCACCCAACCCGGTCCCCCCTTCCCTTTATAGATGTGCTGAGACTCACATCACATTCACCACAATCCCCAAATACACAGTTTACAGGTGTGTGTGGACTTGTGATTATGGAGATGTGGTTTCACAGGCCTGGAGACCACTAGACTGGGGGGGAAATTGGTTTAGAACAGAGGTTGGGGAGCAATGACCCCTTTATGACTTGTGAACTTCAACTCCCAGAATTCCTGACCCAGCGTGGCTGGCTCAGGGATTCTGGGACTTGAAGTTCACAAATCATAAATTCAAACTGGGATTATTTTTTTTATTTTTGCATCTGGAGCTTTTCAGCACCGGGGAAAGCTACAAGTGAGTGGAGGGTACCTCTCCATCATGGCAGTCTGGGTACTGGATTCTTGGGGAACCGCCTGGGCCCAGCACAGCAAATGAGGGGCTCACCTGGAACAGGGCTCCTTTCTGCTGTGCTTTCTGCAGCGAGGTGGAGAGGCTGAACCCCAAGTTCTTCTCCTGCTCAGGGTCCCGAACAAGGAAGCTGTTTGGCGCCAGGAAAAAAGCATTCCGTCTGCTCTGTGGGATGGAAGCATGAATAAAAAGGAAGATCAACCACATAGAGCAGGGATCTCCAACCTTAGCCACTTTACGACTGGTGGACTTCAACTCCCAGAATTCCTCAGCCAGAGACTCCTGACATAGAGGACCTTTTTCCTTTCCTCCCTGGAAGCAGGTCACATCATTCCTGGAGCCGTGGATCAAACCATTTACAAGACGCTATAAACCGGAGAGCTGTGGAAGAGGCACTTCAGACTATAATGCAGTGGTTCTCAACCTTTTTAATGCCGCGACCCCCAAACCGGTCGTAAGTCGAGGACTAAACCGGTCATAAGTCGAGGACTATAGCTGGCAAGCGGCAGAGACGGAGCAGGCCGACCACCAGCTGGCCCAGCTCAAGGGAGGTAAGGTACCCGCCGGAAAAGGGGAAAAAAATGGCGGACAGCCTTGCTTGGCGACCCTCGTGAAATGGTCGATCGACCCCAAATGGGGTCGCCACCCATAGGTTGAGAACCGCTGCTATAATGCTTGGAAGGCTCATTAAAGCAGCTGCATCTCTGTATATTGGCTCATGGTTTTTCCAGCACATCGCCCTTCAGCAGCTGTATGGGCCCGGCGCACATGAAGTACAGATAGTCCTCGACTTAGCACCACAATTGAGCCCCGTATTTCTGTTGCTAAGCGAGACAGTTATTAAGTGAATTCTGCCCCATTTTATGACCTTCCTTGCCGGGGATGTTCAGCGAATCACCGCAGCTGTTAATAACCCGGTTGTCAAGCGAATTATCTTCCCCATTGACTTTGCTTGTCAGTCACATGATCCCCAGGATACTGCCTTCGTCATAAATACCAAGTCAGTTGACAAGCTTCTGGATTTTGATCGCCTGACCATGGAGATGCTGCAACGGTCGTTAAGTGTGAAAGACAGCCAGAACTTCCTTTTTTTCAGTGCCGTTATAACTTTGAACGGTCACTAAATGAATTGTTGTAAGTCGAGGACTGCCTGTAGTTTTAAGGAAGTGCTGACGGATGCTGCATTTGTACGCAGACGCAATTCTAAGGAGTTGCCGATGACGGACGCTGAATTTGCACTCCCGTGCATTCCAACGCACCTCACCCCAACTGAATCCCACACACGGCACTGCCTTAATCAGCGGTTCCTTTCTCAGATCAGCGGCAGCTCTTGGCTATCCCAGGTTGTTCTCTATAGGAGGATGTTTAAATGGAAGTAGCTGGATGCAAAGCTTGCAGGCTTTCACTGAGCTATCCCTTCCCATTTAGGGATATTCACGTTCCAGCACAAAGCAAATTCCACTCAGCAACTCAGAAAAGATAGAACGTCTCGTCTTCAGACCAGGGTGCTCCTGGCGCTCCTGCATGAGTCACTGTTCTGACTAATGTCGAATAGCGCAAATATATAGCCACTGACTCATATTTATGATGGTTGCAGTGTCCATAGGTCTTGTGATCATCTTTTGCGACCTAACCACTGAAAAAAGAGACTACCATTTTTCACACTTAGGACTGTACCTGCGTCCCCATGGTCACACGATCAAAATTCAGATGCTTGGTAACTGACTCATATTTATGACGGCTGCAGTGTCCCAGGATCTTGTGATCCTCTTTTGCGACCTTTCGACAAGCAAAGTCAATGGGGAAGCCAGATTCACTTAACAACCGGGTTACTAACTTAACAGCTGCAGTGATTCGATTCTGGCAAGAACTGGGGACCAAATTCACTTAACAACTGTTTTGTTTAAGAACAGGAATTGTAGGTTAAATCGTGATCGTTAAGTCGAGGACTACCTGCATTGGGAAAAATAACATACTGGTGCAGAGGTGTGAAAAGAATTCATTTGGTCTCAGCAGAAGCTAAACGGGCAGAAACAGAGTCAGAGCAATAAAACATGCAGAGCAGCAGCGTGAAATCTCCCTGGGAGCGAAAGGCAATGGACTTGGGAGACGCCAGTCCTTGATTCAATTTATTTCTCACAAAAATCTACCAGCAAACACCTTGCAGGGCATTAAGCTGGGCTTTGGACTGCATCAATCTGGTGTCAACGCTGCTAACATCAGATGTTTCTGCATTGACAACAAAGGGAAATGTAGCCATCTTTTACCTTTTGCTTTTAGAGTTAGATGATGCTGGGAGGGGGGATGTGAACGAGAGTTCAGCTAGACATAACAACACTAGACCTAGCATGAGAAACAAGGTTATTGTAACCAGAGCTGATAAGGAATTGGCAGGCTGAAGAACTGGAGAGGAGGCCCATGCTTCAAGCTAATTGGGGAATGTGATTTATGACGGTTAATTGAAGGAGGGAATTGTGCTTTGATACTATGTGCTCAGGAGGAGGGGAATTCAGTTTTTGGCTTCGATTATGCTAGTGCCTGATGTTATGTTTCTCGAATAAAGATTCTTTAAAGTAAACAATGCCTCGAAGTTCTTTGAAGAGTTTCACCTGTCGAAACCATGACATCTGGCTTCAAAACATAGTGGAAAAGTACAGGTAGTCCTCGACTTAACAACAGTTCATTTAGTGACTGTTACAACACCACTGAAAAAAGTGACTACCATTTTTCACGCTTAGGACTGTAGCTGCGTCCCCATGGTCACGTGATCAAAATTCAGACGCTTGGCAACTGACTCATTTATAACGGTTGCAATGTTCTAGGGCAGGGCTTTTCAACCTTTTCACCCATTGCACCACTTTTAGGATATGGCAATATCCGAGTACCACCAGTCACCTAGCAAGGTGTCAAAAACTTGATGATCAAAAAAAAAAAAAAAAAGGAAAAAAGTGATAAAGTACAGGTAGTCCTCGACTTACAACAGTTCGCTTAGTGACTGTTCGAAGTTACAATGGCACTGAAAAAAGCGCCCCCCAAGCTACAGCCGAGCAAGACACCTGCCTGCCCGGCGGCGCTCTTCCTCCTGTCCGAGGTTTTCATTGTTGTGAGCATTTCTGTTGAGGATTGGTAGTGGGGGTGGGGTGGGAGTGTTTGGTTTTTATTCCCCCCGTCTGCTGGATGGTTGCAGCAGGTTTTGCTCACTTCACATGACCCTGGGACACTGTGACTGTCATAAATATGAATCAGTTGCCAAGCATCAGAATGTAAATCACAAGACCCTGGAGATGCTGCAACATTCCAGCTGATCAGCGTTTCTTCTGGGCTCAGTGGAAGCACCAGGATCAGCGCCGAGCTCCAGCTGGAGCCTGGCGCTGATCCTGGCGCTTCCACTGAGCCCTGACAACCCTGCAGCTCCAGCCATCTCTTGCTCAGGCTTGTGCGGTGCTGCCACTGGTTCAGCTCATTCTCCTCCCCCGCTACCACTTTTCTAGGATGGTCGCGTACCACCTGCCAGGTGCCAATGTACCACAGGTGGTACCCATACCACTGGTTGAAAAGCCCTGTTCTAGGGTCATGTAATCCCTTTCTGCGACCTTCTGACAAGCAAAATCAACGGGGAAGCCAGATTCACTTAACAACTGTGTAACTCACTTTAACAGCTCCAGGGATTCACTTATAACAGTGGCAAGAAAGGTCAAGACATGGGGCAAAACTCACTTAACTAATGTCTCACTTAGCAGCAGAAGTTTTCGGTTCAATTGAGGTAAGTCGAGGACTACCTGTACTGGTAGACCTCGGCTTACAACCAGTCATTTAGTGACCGGTTGAAGTTACGACAGACTTCCCCAGGGCTACTTATAACCCAGATTCAAAGCTCCAACAGCTGTTCCACGCTGCAGCCACATGACTGTATTTGGGGCATTCAGCAACCGACCTGTGTTTCGGCCATTTTCAACATTGCTCAGTCACAAAACCATAATTTACAATGTTTTTGCTGACACCAGAGTTTACTTCCAATTTCCAGTAAAAAAAACCAAACCATTGCAGACAAGGGATTCACTTAACAACCTCAGTGTGCTTGCTTTATGACTGCCACATTTGCTTAACAACCATCACAAAAAAGGTCGTGAAATTGGGCACAGATGTGTGGGGCAGCCCTGGTGGCACAGTGGTTGGAATGCAGCAGTGCAGGTTGACTGCCCACTGCCAGCAGTTTGATCCCAACCAGCTTAAGGTTGACTCAGCTTTTCATCCTTCTGAGGTCGATCAATTGAGGACCCAGATTGTTGGGGGGGCAAGGTGCTGACTCCGTAAACTGCTTCGAGAGGGCTGCAAAGCACTGTGAAGCGGTATATAAGTCTATGCGCTATTGCTATTAACGATTGGCATGACATACGTCCATAATTCCGGGTATCAGAAAAAATGGATTACCTTCTCCAGCCAGTCGAGGGTCACAATGGGGATTCCTCGAGCCAGGGCACACAAGAACTTGACCGTGCGACGCACGCGGTCCGTCACAAGGTGAGTGCAATCAAAGACAGATTCTGCTAGAGAACCCCCCAATTCGGCCACTACACGTTCTCCCTCCTCATCAATCACACCCGTGAATAACACCTGGAAGGAGATGGAGGAGATTCAATAAACGTTCTTGTTAACAATGCAGTCCCCCCACTCAAGTGGCCATCTTCCCTTGTCCGGGCCCAACCCCTCCCCTGCTATTCTATAATACCTTGGGGGCGGGGCTGCCAGGTCCAGTGGAGCGCCGGGTGCGACTGCCAGATGAGGCCTTTTCACTTGTCGCTCTGTCTTCCGGGCTGTGATGCCGCAACTTCCTTCCCGAAGACGGAGTGGACAGTATTGGTTCCTGGAGAAGACAAGGAAAAGCAGATCAGTCCCCGATTCTAAGAAGACTTGCTGAAAGAGCACCGCCATCTTAGGCTCACGAAACCCGAGCACACCACTCACCTCCTGGATGCCCCCCCCCACAGACCACTCACAACGCCCGAGAGTCGCACTGTCCAGGGTCAGGTGGCCCCGCTCCACAAAGCCCCAAGTTTGTTGGCTTCAGAGCACCAAGAGACTAGCCAGGTTTCTAGAAACCTTTTTACCAACAGATACTTTAACGTAGACTTGCCAGCTTGCTGATCTTCAAGCCTCAGCCTATGCAGCTATGTACAGGCGGTCCTCGACTTACAACAACTCATTTACTGACTGTTCCAAGTTACAATGCCACTGAAAAAAGTGACTTAACGGCCATTTTTCACACAACCGTTACCGCGTCCCCATGGTCACGTGACCAAAGTTCAAACGCTTGGCCACTGACTCCTGTTTATGACGGTTGCAGTCGCCCTGGGGTGATGTGATCCCCTTTTGCGACCTTCTGACAAGCCAAGTCAATGGGGAAGCCAGATTCACTTAACAACCCACACTTGCTAATTTTACAACTACAGTGATTCACTTAACAACTGTGGCAGGAAAGGTCATACAACGGGGCAAAGTTCACTGAACTGTCTCGCTTAGCAACAGAAATTTTGGGCTCCGCTGTGGTCGTAAGTCGAGGACTATCTGTACGAAGTGATCAAAAGGGTGCATAGCAAGGAACTGTGGGAGCTGCAGTCACAACATATCAGAGGAGGCAGCAGGTTGGGGACGGATGCTCCCCATTGGTTCGCGGAACTTTGGAGACCCTCCCATTTAAGATGATTGATAAGCACGACCCCCGCTAGGTCTGCCTAAGGCCGCTTACGACACCTGTGGCTGTCAAGGGTTTCAACCAGAAAGGATATGTGGAAGAAAAGCACCATCCACCAGTCTAAGTAGCTATAGATGTATGAGATCTAGAAGGGGACGTGGTCCTTCTAATGATTCAATTAAGGGTCCGTTGCCCTGAAAGGGGGGGGGAAGCTTTCTTTGGGCGAGGCAGCTTCTCCTTCCTCTGCTTGGATACCCACCTGCCCAGGCTTGGCACTTTTCCCAGAATCCTTTGGGCTTGGGGTGCTCGTGGAAAAGCTGCTGCTGTTGCTGGACAGCTTGCTGGCCCGAGTCCTTGGACGCTCCGGCTGCCCTTCTAGCCCAGGGCCGGGAGCAAGACCCCTCCCGGCCCGTTTTGTGGGCTCCCTGGCCCCAGGGCTAACAGAGACGGCGGCTGCTACTTCTGTAACCTTGCTGGCAGCCCTGGATTCTCTCTGAGAGCTCCTCGTTCGAGTTTGAGGGACAGGAGCAGCGGTCAGGTTTCCATTCCTGGCCTTCTTCCTGGGCCCCTCTTCTCCGGGCTGTTCTGGCCTCTCCTTCACTTCCCTCTTTCGTTGACTTGCTTTGCTGAGCTGCCGCAGCCCCCTACGCCTGCTCTCTGGGGCAGCTGGTTTGCTGGATGCGACGACGGCCCCAGATCCCTGTTGGCGGAGACTTCGTCTTTCTGGGACAGGGGCGGGTGAAGCGGAAGTGGTTGAAGTTCGCAGACTGCGCCGCAGCTCGCGGGCAGGGGGCGCTGTTGACGCCGGATCCTCCTGGGCTGGCATCTAGAGATATCATATGGAGCTCAGGCATCATGCCAAATCATAATTCGGTTAACCAGGTGGGTGGGGGGGTAGGGTTGAACAAACCACAATTTGTTGAGTTCTCATATCAAACCACAGTTTACAAATCACGGTTATCTTGCTCTACCCCATGAGACAAGAAAAACGTGAAGGGTAACTTCACCAAATCAGTCCTTGATTCATGAAGAATGCCAGTCACCCTCAGTCCAACCCACCTCACAAGGTTGTTGTTGTTGTTGTTGTGGGGAAAAGTGGAGAAGGGAGGAATGTTAGGTATGTTCACTACCTTGAGGCATTCATTCATAAAATAACTCATTTATAACTATTTATAATATTTATATATTTATAATCATTATTTTAGCAAATGTCTATCCACTGTATATATATTTATGTAATAATAACTATTATTTATATATTATATATTATAATTTATATTATACAAATAAATATTTTATATATATATATATATATATATATATATATATATATATATATATATATATATATATATATCACAAAGTAAATCAATTACAATCACCAGGAGAATCCAATAAGGAGAAATTTTTAATAAAACCAAGCTTTCATCGGAAACTTCCGACATCGTCAGGGTTAAAGTCAGTCAACGGGAAACAACTTATATAAGATCACCAAGCGCCTGCATCCGGCTTCTGGACCGCGTCATATTTAGAAAAATAAGACAGGATGTTAAATAAAGACAAATCTGATCTTTACCTTCTTAGGATTCCTTGTTTCTCTTACTAATTCCGAGTTTTCTTCCACCTGGTCATCCAGAGGAGCTAGAAAAAGTCAAAGGATGAAACAGCCTGGATTGAAAAACATCATTTCAATTTTTTGCCACCAGGGGGCAGAGCAGAGATACGGACTTACTAAAATACAGACCCGTTTCCCATACATAAACTCTGTCTATATACCACACCAATACATTATAACCCTGGCTTCCTGCCAGAGTTTTTGGCTATATAATTGGCATGACTGGTTGCTTAGCAACCATTCAAAGCTACAATGGACCCTCCAAAAGCTACTTATGACACTGTGCTGAAGTTATTGTGTTCCCCCCCCCCTCCATTCACATGACTCCATTTTGAGCGCCCACCAACTGGCCTATATTTACAATATTTTTCCCCCAGTTTCCATCCCACAGCAAACAACGTATTCGTGATGAGAGCCTTCACTTAACAACAGTGGCATTTGCTTTACCACTGTGGCCTTTGCTTACTGACTGCTGCAAAAGAAAAAAGAAAAAAAAGTCATAAAATCGGGTCTAGTCACATGACGACCCAATTTACCATGATTCATGACCGTGATTGCCAGACTCAATGATGGTCGTAAGTTGAGGATCACTTGTACACAACTCACGAAAAGAGCAGCCTGGAGCATGCAGGACTGAGGGTCACATTCCTGTCTCCCCAACTCTGACCTACAACTTCTATTTGGACTTGGAGGTATCAATTTGAGCCTGTTA